ATGTATTTATTTACATGGAAACAAGTCTACACATTCAGAACTAAAGCTGAAGATGATATTGTCCTGCACATATGACACTGCACACACCTACACATGTATGGTGCTCACAAATACCTACTCTTCACAGCTTCCATCCTGCATCTGGGCTGGCTCCATGTAGCCAAAAGAAGGTGGCAGAAGAGACACCGTGTGACTTGAGGCTGGGGTAGAAGACATCTTATAGCTTCTGCTTTGGTTTCTTGGAATGCTTACTCTGGTGAAAATGAGCAGCTAAGTTTGAATGTATTGAGAATGCCATGCTGAGACTGTCTAAGCTGGCAATATGGAGAAGAAGCCACATAGAAGCAGGGCGCAGCTATTTCAGTCATCTCAGCCGAGGTACGAGACATGTGACTGAAGGAACCATCTGGGTTATCTAGCCCCATTGAGCCTTCAGATGACTTCAGTCTCAGCCATCATCTGACTGTAATTGCATTGGAGACCCCAAGTGGCAACTGCTCATGTAAATTGGGTCATCATATAAAATCATAAGAGATAATAATGAGTTGTTGATATACACCATGGGATTTTGAGGTGTTTTCTTATAAAGCAATAAACTGAAGTAATTGGTAGATTGATTGCAAAAATGGCCCTGATTGTCCATCTCTGTATGAGTCTGTGTCCTTTGCAACATGAATTTGTAGCTCATTTAATCAAGATGTGGGATCTGTTTCCTCATCCTTTGAGTCTGCACTGGCCTTGTGGCTTTGCCCATTAGAACATAGCAAAAATGTGGCAGTTCTGAGCCCAAGTTCCACAAAGCATTTTATACTTCGGTGTTTGCTCTCTTGGAACTCTGACTACCATGAAAACAAGTCCAGGCTAGTGCGTTGTAAGGTTATAGAACAGGTCAAGCAGAAAATAGAAAAGACTAATAGCAACCCTAGTCATTCTTGAGGGTAGCTTAACGATGATTCCTAAAACAGAGCCAGTAAACAAAAGAAAATTGTAACGCCATTTCATTTCTGACAGGAAAATCCTAAGTAAAATACTAGATAATGAGAGTCAATTATATACTATAGAAATATAATATTATCTAGTATTTATTCCAGGAATGAAAGACTAACTTAAAATCAGAAAATCTGTCACTGGAATGAACCCACTAACAGAAAGAATTTGATAAATTTTAACATCTTTGATGGGATAAAGTACCCCGCAGTAAAGGAAACTCCCTTAACTTGATAAATACTATGTATGAAAACTCTACAGAAAATATATTTAACAGAAAAACTTGAAATACATTCCCTTTTAGTTCAGGAACAGCAAAATCATATGGCACATGAGCACTGCTTACTAGTCTACAAGTATTTAACGGTTCAGGCTACTGCAGAGAGATAAGAAATAGAACTGAGAGATAAAGGAAGTGCAAACTTGTCATTATTTGCATATAATATAATCACTGAAAACACAGCACAACAAATTGGCAAACTCTTAGTATAATAAGAGTTCCGAAGTTTGCTGGTTTAAGATAATCTATAGCAATAATTTACTAGAAAACACTATGGAAAAACAGAGGCAAAACAAAAATTATAAAGTAGTAAGTAAGTAATAGCCTACAAAGAATGCAGAAAATTGTTTATAATAAAAAATTCTTAAACCATATAAGAGACATAGAATAGAACTGAATAATTGGAGAGTTATAACATTTTTATGACAAGGTGACCATATTGTAAAGATATGTATTATACCCAAGTTAATCTGTACACTTAACACAATTGTAATAAAAAGTTCTTGTGATGTTAGAGTGGAGAAGATTTTCTTAAACATGATGCTAAAATTACAAAACTAAGGTGAAAAAACTGGTAGATTTAATTATATCTAAATTAAGGATTTCTATTTAATAAAGAACACTAACAGCAATTTCAACAGAATGAGGATGAGCTTGGAGAAGGTATATGCTGGATATTAACAAGGGATTACTGCCTATGATATACAATGAGCAAATCAATAAACAAAAGAAAATCGTCAAAAGAAATGAAGAAGCAATCCACAAAAGGACAAATCTAAATGAGTAACGGGCTTGTGAAGGGAAGTCCAATTTTAGTAGTAATCAGAGAAATGCAAGTGGAAACAGTAACAAGACCCACTTTACAATCATCAGATTGACAAAAAAAAAAAGGAATTTGGATAATACCAAGGGCAGACAAACAGGAATTCTCATGCACCCTTCCTGGGCATGTAAAGGAGCAACCTCTGAAGAGCAGTACAGCATTGGAACTTAGTAATATGCAGTGGGTGCAGACAATGGAATACTACACAGCAGTCAGGGGTAACATATTACATTGTGTAGATGTAATGATACACACATATATACAATAAAAAGGAGGAACCTGAATGACATATATAATTCAATACTATTTGTATAAATTGAAATCATATTCACATATCTTTCCAAGACATACATAGATCCAAGGATATATATTAAACACATGAGAATTCATGCCTATGGGGCAGAGGGAAGTGAAGTAAGTGCATAGGTAAGGTTATGATGGGGAAACATACAGAATTAAAACAACAAAAGAACTTTGCATGGCTTGATGATGCTAGAAAACCTGAAACTGAAGAATATTATAGTCAGTTCTCTCCGTCCACTCTCCTGAAGTAGAATAATAACAAAACAAAGTAAGGAGTGTGCAGCCCGGGTCCATGAGGCCAAGGGAGGAGTTTGAGTGCAGGAGAAGGTGCTGCCTAGGAGTCCCTGGAGCTTGCCCAGCCAGCCTCCTGCTCCCATTCAGGGCCCTGTGGCAGGGCGGTGAGTTGAGAGGAATTGAGGAGGGCTCAGCCTATTCCACCAGGCATCCACACTTACCAAGCTCAAACCTGATTTTCAAGTTTCTTTCTGCAAGCCATGTATCTGAGTGAATTGTTAATGAAAAATGGGAATAATTTGATACTAAACATATTAGAACTAAACTAAACAGGTTAGAGCTCACTGTTCTGGCATGGTGTCTTAGCTCAAGCTGCTGTAACAAAGTACCATAGATGGGGTGGTTTAAAAAGAACAAAGATTTATTTCTTACAGTTCTGGAGGCTTGAAGTCAAAGAGGAGGGCACCAGCATGGCTGGGTTCTGGTGAGGCCCTAGTTCAGTCTGGTTGCAGACTGCTTGTCTTTTCATTCAATGTGACCTCACAGAGAGAGGGAGCAAGCTCACTTGTAACTCTTATAAAGGTACTAATCCCATTCATGAGAACTTTATTCTTGTGACCTCATCTAATTCTAATCACCTCCTAAAGGCCCCACTTTCTAATACTGTCACATTGCGGGGTAGGATTTCATTATATGAATATTTGGGGGACACTAATATTCAGTCCACACACATGGCATATAGACTCACTGGCAGCATCTCCCAGGGCAATCCATAGAGAGCATTCCAGACCTCTCTTTCCAAAAGAGAACTGTCGGACCCATGCAGTATTTTATTTGGCTGTCCTCTTTTCTGTCCCCTTATCTTAGAGGGTTCCTCTCCATATCAGAGCAGCATATCCAGAGACCTGCATGCAGGGGTGAAGTGGGCTTTGGCCCACAGCTTTGCACAGGACTTGGTATCCAAACACAGATTAGTCCCTAAAGGGGCATGAGAACATCCCAGTAATTTGTTCTGACAAAAGCTGGATTAAACATTCCAGGTCATTTGGTGCTCAGTGTGGCTCATTTAGACATAACCCGAATCCACAGGCATCTGGCTTGTATTTTTGGAGAGCGAACCAGTATGAGAGACAGCACCAAGGCGACTCTGCAAGTATGGGAGATAGGAAGTCAAAAACCCTAGATTCCTCTGCCACCCAGCACTGGGATAGACACTATTTATGTATCATTTAATGTAGCCAACTTGTTAGGTTCTCTTAGATGGGCATAGCATTCCAAGAGAACATGAATTTGCTTGTTCTTTTTAAAATATAGACTTCAAAGTACTATTATTAATACAAGCATTTCTATCAAAGATGTCATATCTCATTTAAAAAAATTTCAAATATCAAATTTCTGTTGTCTTTACTATTTTATATTCAGGAATATTGTGTTATTCATTACACAGCATGTGTTACTGGATTCCTCAGGATTTCATACATTTCAGCAACTTCTAATGGTCTTTGTAAACAACATACCTCACTTGCAGAAAATGAAACCGTTTGGTCATTTTAAATACAGAGCAGCCCCCACTGCATTTTTGTCTTTTAAAATTTGTTTTTCTTTTAAGCTAAGTGGTTCTGTTCTTTTTCTTTTAAAATTCAACTTAATGAGGACTTAAGACCTTTTCCCCCTGTGACATCAGTTTCAAACTGGCTTTTTGTCTTTCATTTTTCTGAAGCATTTTTGATAGTGGGGATGGCTGCATAAAGCTAATGAGCTAGATACATTTTCCCCCTATTTACTTCAGTTGAGCAGCTTTATACCTGCTTAATAGTCCATAGTATACAAACAACTGAATTATATTGCAAATTGTTTTCAGATTTGAATTACTTAACAAAGTTCTATACGTGTTTTTTTAAAGGGGGATTAAAAACAAGAACAGTGGCAGCCCTTAAATATCAATTTAGAATTCTTGCTGAAAAGTCAGTAAGTGAAATAAATCATAAATCAGCCTGATTGCCCATCAAATGATAGATTGACTTCCCCTTTGTGGATATGTTAAAGCTGTTCTCATTGCATTTTCTCTCCTATCCTCTGAACACTTGCATGAGATGTTATTTTAGTGACTATATATAAAGCCAGCTACATGAGCACATGTGTAATGTTCTGATGTTGCAAGGAACCTTAACAGTTACTGGTCCAGTTGACCACTAAATAAAGTGCCCGGAATTTTCTAAAATTAGAGGATGTCTCTGAAGCCAGGGTTAGAAGTTATTGAGACTGCTCTCCTTGCAATGAAATAGACATTTCAGTATTCTAAATCAAAGGATTTTGTCATCCCTTTCTTCACAGTGCTAAGAAATATCCTTATATTGTTTCTAGCTGTCAAAAGTGAGAACTAAAAACCTGAAAAGCCCTGGAAATCAAGGTGGCAGAACTGGTTTGCTGACAGGATACAGTAGAAAGGTTTTGCTCATACCTTGTCAATCTTTGGCAGATATGCAGTGGATGATCCAGTAGAGAACAGTAGTGATGGGTAGGTAGTCTCATCCTTTTTTAGTCTTTCTTCAGAGCAGAAATTTTTGGTCTATTGTGTTTGTCAATGATAATTCTCTTAACTCATTCAGGACAATCGGAGATGCGGTTCTCTTCTCTAGAAGAACTATAGAGATCATCTCAACACAATCTTCAGTCAAAGAGCTGAGTAAGATATTTGGCAGGTGTTACAGTTTCTCTTCTCTCAGTGTATTTGTCTTCTGGGAAAGAGGTACATAGATCTTTCTGTAATTTGCTTACAAACAGTTGTTACAGTATAAAAACGTCCTTTTGTTCCCCAAGGAAGAGAAAAATAATTACATGGTCATGTTAGATTGTCCTAGGATTGCAAAGAGTCTTTTCTAACATTCTATCCCTTGATTTTATCAATTGGTAAACCAATGTCTGATACATTCTTTGATGCATAAAATATCTCTTATTTGACCAGTGAAGACTAAATACAGATGGATAATTATGACTGACTATTTATAAAGTCTACTGTGTTTACTCAGGTTGTCCAGATGATGACAGATAATGTATTCTATGATTATTTAGCACCTAATTTAGAACCTTAGTCTTTTAAGCATGGAATGTTCATTGGGAGGTCAGGGTGTTGCATCTATTAAAATCAAGAATTTAAATCATAATAGCAATATGCCCTTGAATTCCATATCCCTTCACCTTCCGGGGCAACCTAACTTTCTCAAAAGACCATATTACCCTGTGTTATATCCCTGACAGACAACCATCCTTCCTATTCATGAACTTATTGGAGACCAGAAGCTTACTACCTCCTAAGGCAGGGGTTAAGGGGATGATGCTGCAAAAATGTGGAAAAGTGGATGTAGGGAGTGATGGAGAGTGTGTAATATACATATAGGAAATCATGCTTGAAGACTGGGATTTTAGAGTTTAAATTTGAGCAATAGAATTATTCTGGATATTCACAGGTCTGGGGCCACCCAGGTATGGATGATTGAAGTGAATGGAGCCTAATAAATTAACTGAAGTTCCCAGCATTTTGGAGATGGGATCTTCCCTATTGGGTAATTCTACTGTGCAGGCTCAGGTTGTCCATATGATGGCAGAAGTAGTTGGGGTAGAAAGTGTCCAAGAGTCAATGCACATTGGAAAAAAACCTGAAGGTCAGTAATTGCCATTAAGAAAAAAAAAGGGAAAGGAAAAGGGTCAGCAAACTTGTTGCCCCTCTATGTGCTATTAGGATGACTTCCCATTTCTCATTCACATATTTTTCCTACATGAAGATTATTACTGAAATTCTCTTTCCCTAACTCCATTCACCTAGGTGCATTCCAAGAACTGAAGGCTTTTCCAAGAACAACTGGGTGTAACACTAGAGAAAAGCCACCATGAACCTTTTCTGCATACCCTTGGCAGCAAAACACTTGCATTGTGAAGGTTGATCCACTCAGTTTTATGAACCCCAGGGAAAAGAAAGAAAAACAAAACAAAACAAAAAAACTCTTCCTCTATAGAAAGAGATATTTAGTTTCACAAGGCAGTGAACATTTTTAAAGACTATATGGTTTGGGGATGCTCATACCTTGTCAATCTTTGGCAGATATGCAGTGGATGATCCAGTAGAGAACAGTAGTGATGGGTAGGTAGTCTCATCCTTTTTTAGTCTTTCTTCAGAGCAGAAATTTTTGGTCTATTGTGTTTGTCAATGATAATTCTCTTAACTCATTCAGGACAATCGGAGATGCGGTTCTCTTCTCTAGAAGAACTATAGAGATCATCTCAACACAATCTTCAGTCAAAGAGCTGAGTAAGATATTTGGCAGGTGTTACAGTTTCTCTTCTCTCAGTGTATTTGTCTTCTGGGAAAGAGGTACATAGATCTTTCTGTAATTTGCTTACAAACAGTTGTTACAGTATAAAAACGTCCTTTTGTTCCCCAAGGAAGAGAAAAATAATTACATGGTCATGTTAGATTGTCCTAGGATTGCAAAGAGTCTTTTCTAACATTCTATCCCTTGATTTTATCAATTGGTAAACCAATGTCTGATACATTCTTTGATGCATAAAATATCTCTTATTTGACCAGTGAAGACTAAATACAGATGGATAATTATGACTGACTATTTATAAAGTCTACTGTGTTTACTCAGGTTGTCCAGATGATGACAGATAATGTATTCTATGATTATTTAGCACCTAATTTAGAACCTTAGTCTTTTAAGCATGGAATGTTCATTGGGAGGTCAGGGTGTTGCATCTATTAAAATCAAGAATTTAAATCATAATAGCAATATGCCCTTGAATTCCATATCCCTTCACCTTCCGGGGCAACCTAACTTTCTCAAAAGACCATATTACCCTGTGTTATATCCCTGACAGACAACCATCCTTCCTATTCATGAACTTATTGGAGACCAGAAGCTTACTACCTCCTAAGGCAGGGGTTAAGGGGATGATGCTGCAAAAATGTGGAAAAGTGGATGTAGGGAGTGATGGAGAGTGTGTAATATACATATAGGAAATCATGCTTGAAGACTGGGATTTTAGAGTTTAAATTTGAGCAATAGAATTATTCTGGATATTCACAGGTCTGGGGCCACCCAGGTATGGATGATTGAAGTGAATGGAGCCTAATAAATTAACTGAAGTTCCCAGCATTTTGGAGATGGGATCTTCCCTATTGGGTAATTCTACTGTGCAGGCTCAGGTTGTCCATATGATGGCAGAAGTAGTTGGGGTAGAAAGTGTCCAAGAGTCAATGCACATTGGAAAAAAACCTGAAGGTCAGTAATTGCCATTAAGAAAAAAAAAGGGAAAGGAAAAGGGTCAGCAAACTTGTTGCCCCTCTATGTGCTATTAGGATGACTTCCCATTTCTCATTCACATATTTTTCCTACATGAAGATTATTACTGAAATTCTCTTTCCCTAACTCCATTCACCTAGGTGCATTCCAAGAACTGAAGGCTTTTCCAAGAACAACTGGGTGTAACACTAGAGAAAAGCCACCATGAACCTTTTCTGCATACCCTTGGCAGCAAAACACTTGCATTGTGAAGGTTGATCCACTCAGTTTTATGAACCCCAGGGAAAAGAAAGAAAAACAAAACAAAACAAAAAAACTCTTCCTCTATAGAAAGAGATATTTAGTTTCACAAGGCAGTGAACATTTTTAAAGACTATATGGTTTGGGGAAAAAAAAATGTAACATGGAAAGGTTATATGTTTTGTTGTGGATATAATTTTGATAAAAAAGTTTGTTGATTACATTATCTATGTCCAATGATGGGCTATGTGCATGGTCTCCAAACTATGGTGCATGATATCCTCCAAATCTTGGACCAAGTCTGAAAAAAACAGTGTTGATTTTGCTGCCAGCTTTTAAATTCCATCTTCTGCAAATAACAGGGCTTGGTTTGCTTACTGAAACACTTTATACAAATGCCAGGGTGCTCTCTCCTTATGAGGAAGACCTACATGTGTTTTAAATATAGATAAGTAGAAATGCTTAAACTGTAGAATGTCAAGGCAAGGGTACCTGCATTGGCCGAAGGTTGAATTTCCAAGATATCTGAATATGCTCTGCCTAAGTTTGATTTTGGTGAGAACTGCATACACCAAATAAAGCAGTGATGCTCCCCAAATATTCTGTATGCTCTCCTACTTTTCCTAGTTTTGCAAGGTGGTTAAAACCATGTATCTGGTTTTGGCCAACAGAGAAAAGAAGATAGATGTGTTTGTTTTAATGTGTTTATTTTCTTTTAACTAAGGGCAGGAGGTGGGGAGTGCTGTGGGCCCTTCACATTCTCTCCTGCTCTGTTGCATGCATCCTGGAAGCCAAGATGGGGGAAACCTGTGTCTCTAAGTCACCATATGGAGGAAATGTTACCTCAGGGAACTTTAAATAAGCAAGGAAATACGTTGTCACATTAAGCCATTGAGATTTTCTTTTGGTATCATTAATATAAAATCACATGGGCAACATTGTGGTTACTAGAATCCCCCCTTATCAAGTCCCCACCACATACCCCATTACAGTTACTGTCCATCAGTTTAGTAAGATGCTATAGAGTCACTACTTGTCTTCTCTGTGTTGTACTGCCTTTCCCATGACCGCCCTCCCTGCCTACATTATGTGTGCTAATCATAATGTTCCTTTTTCCCCTTATCCCCCGCTTCCCACCTATCCTCCCCAGGCCCTTTTCCTTTGGTAACTGTTAGTTCATTCTTGGATTCTGTGAGTCTGCTGCTGTTTTGTTCCTTTAGTTTTTGCTTTATTTTCATGCTCCAAAGATGAGTGAAATCATTTGGTACTTGCCTTTCTCTGCCTGGCTTATTTCACTGAGCATATTACCCTCTAGCTTCATCCATGTTGTTGCATATGGTAGGATTTGTTTTCTTCTTATGGCTGAATAGTATTCCATTGTGCATATGTACCACATATTCTTTATCCATTCATCTACTGATGAACACTGAGGTTGCTTCCATTTCTTGGCTGCTATAAATAGTGCTGCAGTAAACATAGGGGTTCATATGTCTTTTTGAAACTGGGATCCTACATTCTTAGGGTAAATTCCTAGGAGTGGAATTCCAGAGTCAAACGGCATTTCTATTTTGAGTTTTTTGAGGAACCTCCATACTGCTTTCCACAATGGTTGGACTAGTTTACATTCCCACCAGCAGTGTAGGAGGGTTCCCCTTTCTCCACATCCTCTCCAACATTTGTTGTTCCCAGTCTTTTCTATGTTGGCCATCGTAACTGGTGTGAGGTGATATCTCACTGTGGTTTTAATTTTCATTTCCCTAATAATTAGTGATGTGGAGCATCTTCTCATGTGCCTGTTGGCCATCTGAATTTCTCCTTTGGAGAAGAGTCTGTTCATATCCTCCACCCATTTTTTAATAGGGTTATTTGCTTTTTTGGTGTTGAGGCATGTGAGATCTTTATATATTTTGGATGTTAACCCCTTGTCGGATAAATATATTGTTCCATACTGTAGGATGCCTTTTTGTTCTGCTGATGGTGTCCTTTGCTATACAGAAGCTTTTTAGCATGATGTAGTCCCATTTGTTCATTTTTTATTTTGTTTCCCTTGCTCAAAGAGATGCATTGAGGAAAAAGTTGCTCATGTTTATATTCAAGAGATTTTTGCTTATGTTTTCTTCTAAGAGTTTTATGGTTTCATGACTTACATTCAGGTCTTTGATCCATTTTGAGTTTACTTTTGTGTATGGAGATAGACAATAATCCAGTTTCATTCTCTTGCATGGAGCTCTCCAGTTTTGCCAACACCAGTTGCTGAAGAGGCTGTCATTTCCCCATTGTATATCCATGGCTCCTTTATCATATATTAATTGACCATATATGCTTGGGTTTATATCTGGGCTCCCTAGTCTGTTCCATTGGTCTGTGGGTCTGTTCTTGTACCAGTACCAAATTGTCTTGATTACTGTGGCTTTGTAGTAGAGCTTGAAATTGGGGTGCATAATTCCCCCCAGCTTTATTCTTCCTTCTCAGGATTGATTTGGCTATTTGAGGTCTTTGGTGCTTCCACATGAATTTTAGAACTGTTTGCTCTAGTTCATTGAAGAATGCTGTTGGTATTTTGATAGGAATTGCATAGAATCTGTAGATTGCTTTAGGCAGGATGGCCATTTTGACACTATTAATTCTTCCTATCCATGAACACGTGATGAATTTCCATATATTGGTATCTAATTTCTCTGATGAGTGTCCTGTAGTTTTCAGAGTATAGGTCTTTCACTTTCTTTGTTATGTTTATTCGTAAGTATTTTATTCTTTTTGATGCAGTTGTGAATGGAATTGTTTTCCTGATTTCTCTTTCTGCTAGTTCATTTTTAGTGTATAGGAATGCAACAGATTTCTGTGTATTAATTTTATATCCTGCAATTTTGCTGAATTTAGATATTAGATCTAGTAGTTATGAAGTGGATTCTTTAGGGTTTTTTACGTATAATATAACATAATCTGCAAACAATAGCAGTTTAACTTTTTCCTTGCCGATTTGGATGCCTTTTAGTTCTTTGTGTTGTCTGATTGCCATGGCTATGACCTCTAGAACTATGTTAAATAAAAGTGAGGAGAGTGGGTATCCTTGTCTTGTTCCTGATCTTAAAGGAAAAGCTTTCAGCTTCTCTCTGTTAAGTACAATGTTAGCTGTGGGTTTGTCATATATGTCCTTTTTTTATGTAGAGGTGCTTGCCCTTTATACCCATTTTGTTGAAAGTTTTTATCATGAATGGATGTTGAATTTTGTTGAATGCTTATTCAACATCTATGGAGATGATCACATGGTTTTTGTCCTTTTTGTTGATGTGGTGGATGATGTTGATGGATTTTTGAGTGTTGTACCATCCTTGCATCCCTGTAATAAATCCTACTTGATCATACTGGATGATCTTTTTGATGTACTTTTTAATTCGGTTTGCTAATATTTTGTTGGGCATTTTTGCATGTATGTGCATTAGGGATATTGGTCTGTAATTTTCTTTTTTTGTGGGGTCATTGCCTGGTTTGGTATTAGATTGATGCTGGCCTTGTAGAATGACTTTGGAAGTATTCCCTTGTTTTCTACTTTTTGGAAAACCTTAAGGAGGATGGATATTAGGTCTTTACTAACTGATAAAATTCAGCAGTGAAACCATCTGGTCCAGGGATTTTGGTTTTAGGTAGTTTTTTTGATTACCACTTCAATTTCTTTGCTGGTAATTGGTATAATCAGATTTTTTGTTTCTTCCTGGGTCAGCCTTGGAAGGTTGTATTTTTCTAGAAAGTTGTCCATTTCTTCTTTCTAGGTTATCCAGTTGGTCAGCATATAATTTTTCATAGTATTCTCTCATAATTCTTTATTTTTCTGTGGTGTCAGTAGTGAGTTTCATTTCTTATATTTGATTCTGTTTATGTGTGTAGACTCCCTTTTTTCTTTATACGTCTGGCTAGGGGTTTATTTATTTTGTTTATTTTCTTAAAGAACCAACTCATGCTTTCATTGTTTCTTTCTATTGTTTTATTCTTCTCAATTCTAGTTATTTATGCTGTAATCTTTATTATGTACCTCCTTCTATGACTTTGTGTCTCATTTGTTCTTCTTTTTCTAGTTTCATTACTTGTGAGTTTAGAGTGTTCATATGGGATTGTTCTTCTCTCCTGAGGTAGGTCTCTATTGCAGTATCTTTCCCTCTTGGCACGGCCTTCACTGCATCCCACAGATTTTGCGGTGTTGAATTATTGTTGTTATTTGTCTCCATATATTGCTTGATCTCTGTTTTTATTTGGTCATTGATCCATTGGTTATTTAGGAGCATGTTGTGAAGCCTCCATGTGTTTGTGGGCTTTTTCATTTTCTTTGTGTAATTTATTTCTAGTTTCATACCTTTGTGGTCTGAGAAGCTGGTTGGTACAATTTAAATCTTTTTGAATTTATTGAGGCTCTTATTGTGGCCTAGTATATGATCTATTCTGGAAAATGTTCCATGTGCTCTTGAGAAGAATGTATATTCTGTTGCTTTTGTATGGAGTGTTCTGTAGATGTCTGTTAGGTCCATGTGTTCTAATACATTGTTCAGTGCCTCTGTATCCTTACTTATTTTCTGTCTGGTTGTTCTGTCCTTTGGAGTAAGTGGTGTGTTGAAGTATCCTAAAATGAATGCATTGCATTCTATTTC